AAAAAAAAAATGAAGAATTAATGTGTTACCATTGAAAAGTACTTCAGTACCAGGAAAAATTATTTATAAATGCCACAATAGGTTTGGAAAAATCAGAAATGCTTCTAGTTGACTAATGAGCATTTTAGGCAAAACTCTAGAAATAATCAGCATTTTTTACCAGATTAACTGCCCATCCCACCAAGATGCATGTATATAACTAAATACCGTATCACCTTGCATTCTTCAGTTGTAAATCTTCAGGCAACTGTATTCTAAGGTGGAAGTCTCTTCCCTGTGGAAAATATTGAAAAGGTTCAATCAAAATTCCATCTTTCACTTAATGCTAACAGATGTTAAACATAAAGTCATACTGAAAAGGCAGTATTTTCCTTTACTTTCTAAAAGGCATCAAATTTATCCAAATCCTCATACTTGTCAAAATACAAGCAATAAAATATTATATTTGAGGAAAAAATAACTCAAAAATGTCTGTCAGGAACTTTGTAATTACTGGAAAATCAAAACACTCAGATGGGACTTTGTTTTTAAAGAGAAAGTCACTCATAAACACAGGAAATACTATGAAATTGTTAACCCAGACATACAAAAGAAACAAATGTTATTTCTTAAAAAATAAATTTATGAAAAAGGAAATTCCTTCCAATTGCTTTGATTACCCAAGAAAAAAATCACAATGTAAAATAAGAATACATAATGCATTACGGGTTTTATGTTTTCTACTTTCCAAATTTTAACAAAATGAATATATATTTATAGGGCTAGCCAGTTAGTGCAGTCGATTAGAGCACAGCCTTATAACACTAAGTTCATAAGTTCAGATCTCCAAACGGGCCAGCCACAAAGAAAAAAAAAAGAAAGAAAGAAAACATTTATTTATACAATCTAAATATACAGACATAAGAGAAATATTTTCATAAATCAGAGTAAATTTAACACTCCCATACTAGTGGACCTTTAATAAATAAAATCAGTAACATGTAAAGTTCTTTATTTTAATCTAAATATTCACTATTGCATTCAAATATATGGAATTTTATTCAAGTCTTTCTAAGGAAAGAAAAGACTTCTGAAAAATATATTCAGTTTTACTTTCTTGAGAAAGTGAATGGGTAAGCAGTTTAAACTTTGTAATTTAAATAGGATAATACACATGAAATCTGAGCAGAAACAAGCAGAAAAAGACAAACAGAAATGTAATCTTTTACTCCAACAGTATAAAATGAAAAAGAGTAATAAAATTCTCGAAAAACAATTACCATGTGGAATTTCAGCACAGTCTCCCTCAAAGCAGTTTCAAAAACAGAGGAACACAATTAAATGTACCCCATAACCTTTACTTTCATGGTAATATTACAGTTCTGACTTTCATTACATTTAAATGTCCTTTAAAAAAATGAAAAAAAA